AGAGGGTAAAATCGGAATTATAGAGTTCCGATTCCTTCTCAATACGTGATTAATTTCAAGTCATACCAAGTAGCCATTGCTTTATGAAAACACTAATTTCAGAAAAATAATGATGATTAAGAGGAACAACGATGGTGATAGAAAGTCGACAAAATCACCTAAAAAGGGGACGCCGATCAATCTTTTGAAGATTGATCTGGATGCGGAAAAGGTTGACCATGGTTTCGAAGGACGTGAATGATGGCGTATTGGGTGGTGGTTGTTTGGAGACACGATGTCCGACCTAGAAATGCAGGCTACACATAAACTCCATGGGTTGGCGAGTTGTGATGGTCAGATTATGGCTGCGAGACTGTGAAAATTGATGGTACGATGGAAGGAGTTTGAGAGAAGAAGATACCGTGGTGTGCAAGAGACAATTTATTGATAAAACCCTAGATATATAGAAAGAGAGATGAATAACAATATGGCGAATTAGAAAGGAAATACGGAAGTGAGTGAGAAATTATAAGAATGTGCTAAAAATGTAATTACCATCATACCCTTATCACCTTTTTAAAGTTACATTTTAATACTAACAATTTCAGAATTTACATAAATGGTCTATTTGATATTAGCCTTAGATTTCAATATTTAGATGCTCTAGATCTATTCTCGCTTTCTCAACCTTTTAGGTGTTCTCATTTGACCATACTCCTATATATATATATATATGTGTGTGTGTGTGTGTGTGTGTGTGTGTGTGTGTGTGTGTGTGACATCCCCATTTTCACGGTCAGAAAATACCAATTTTGTTTATGCTTTATAAAAATCAGAGTTCTTCTTTTAATAAAAATGTTGTGGAATTCGTTCCCAGAAAAACACGATAAATACGTTATTAAAACATTTTCGAAGAAACGTATTTTATTCATTTTAAAACGTTTGGGATGTCATCGTCAATACAGGAACATAAGCATAAACAGAACTTACATTTATTTACACTAGTAATCTACATCTCTTTAATCTCTCAGTGTAATGTGACTTCATATCCACACCTGTGATATAAATAAACTGAGTGGGTCAGGTTGGGAAACCTGGTGAGTACATAGGGTTTTCAACTCACAATAATATAATTATTATGTTTAAACAATCAAACAATCAATCCAATTACCCATCCCCATTATCTTCTTACTCTTAAGGATTTATCCTAAGAGTCATTTATTCTGCATTCGTTTATTCCGAAGTCCCTTACTTCCAGGGTTATAGGACTGGCACTAAATCCATAGCTGCTAATGTTCGTTCATAAAACACTAATTCCATAGTTGCTATAGTCTATTCATAGGGTACTAAATCCATAGCTACCAGTGTTTATCTAATAGGTACTAAGTCCGTAGCTACCAATTCCTTAACAGGTACTAAATCCATAGCTACCGGTGTTTGTCCATAGGCACTAAGTCCATAGCTGTCGATGTTTATTAGTTAGGCACTAAGTATATAGCTTCCAATGTTTACTCACATCATCTTTTATCTCTCATCATTCATCTACCCGTATCATACCCAACATATTCGTGTATATAAAATATGTATACAGTTTAAATCATCTAAAACATGTATAAAAACGTTCATCCAACATAGACAACAAGTATACAGATAATATGCACACATAGCACGTAATTTATATAAAATACTTCATATCTATGTGTAAGATGAAAGTAACTATGCACTCACTTGAAAAGGTGGTGATTCCGAACTCAGATAGCGCTTCACTTCTTGAAAAAAATAATTTCATTTGACGAAACCTAGTATTATTACCACTCGAGTTTAGTCTATTATTCACCGAGACTAATTAATAGTCTAGCTATTATTACTATTATATAACCGTTAAATAATACTTATATAACCCATAATAATAACCCAATTACTTATTATATGTTCTTAATAACGTTAATATAATTAAATAAAAACTATATTAAAAATATCGTAGGCGTAGCTCACTTACAGCGAGTTTTATAGAAAACCAGGCTTTGCTTGGAGCAGCATTCCCATGCGGAAAAGCTCTTCTTCTCGTAGCCGTCGAGCACTCAGGGACTTCCGCCTTGTGCTAGGGAGGTTCCCTAGGCTTTTCGGGGGGTTTCAGGGCTAGAGAGATGTTCTAGAGAGAGAGTAAAGAGAAGAAAGAATGAGAAAGGTGTGAAGAAAATGAGGGTGGGAGAGGTTCTATTTATAGGGTGAAAATGGTTGAACTTGGTGCCACATGTCACCATCTAGTGGCAAGACTTGGGGAGAAAGCAATGGTCAAAATTGTGCCACATCACCCATTTTCGCACAGCACACTTTCGATTTCTAAAATATGTAACTTTCACATACGACCTCCGTTTTTAACGTTCTTTATATCCAAGCGTAGGTAAAAATAATATCTAAAACTTTCATTTTGACTCCGTCGGCTAATTCTCTACCGATCTAAAATTTAACAGTACGAGGCGTTTAGACTGTTAAATGATCGCGAAAAATTTGTAACTCCTTCATACGGACTCTGTTTTCGTCTGTCTTTTTACTGTTAAGTTCCTATTAATGAGATCTTCAACTCTCATTTAAGTCATGTAAGCCAAAAACCGCTCGAACTAAAATTCGAGTTTCGGGTCGTGCACTGCTAAGTCGAATCTTAGAAAAATCATAACTTCTTCATACGAAGTCAGATTTAGGCGTTCTTTTTATGGATTTTCTCGGTTTAACATATTATATGACTTTCATTTAGATCACTAAGGTTAAAAAGTGCTCCATCGTAAAATCACTATTTACGCTTCCCGGTGCCGTGCCGGTTCCGTCGCGAAATTTCGACGGGTCATAACTTCTTCGTTATAACTCCGATTTCGACGCTCTTTATATGTACGGAAACCTTGTGACATATTATACAACTTAGTTAAGATTATTTATTCTAAATAATCTTTTGTCAAAAAGTCATTTTCGATTCCTATTACCTCTAAATTGACTAGCCCGGATCTACGAGCGTTACAATATATATATATATATATATATATATATATATATATATATATATATATATATATAATGTATTCTTTTAATACATTGAATACTGTGTGCTGTACGTTTTTTCTCCGTGTGGAATAATACTGTCTAAGACAATCACACTGACCATTTACACAAAAATCTACCCCTTAAAAAAACTTTATTCATTTGCTTCTTTTATTTCTTTTCACATAGAGATGGCAAAAAAACCCGTACCCGATGGGTACCCGAAACCCTAACCCGAGTTGACCGGGGACGGGGACGGGATGGGTATTACCCGAATACAAAAGGCGGGGATGGGGATGGGGATGGTTCTACATGTCGGGTACCCTATATATATATATATATATATATATATATATATATATATATATATATATATATATATATATATATTGTTACTTATGTTTTTATTTTTAATAATGCATAAGCAAATATTCAGTAGACAAAGTAAGGTTTTTTAATAATAAAACGTATAGTTTTGGGAAGACTTTTAATGTTGTTTTTTGCAAAAAAATGATTTAATTTATAACCTTGAATGTTATTATTAGTGTTTGGAGACATTCAGTGATTTATAGCGTTTTATATTAGTTTTGTTAGTTTTTGTTTTGTTGGTTAATATATAATTATGAGTTATTTTTCATAAAAGTTCAAAATTTGTAATGGGGAAAAATACCCGATTACCCATTGAGGATCCCCAATACCCATTGAGGATGGAAATGGAGTTAGATTTTTAATCCCCGATGGGGATAAGGTCGGGTATGGGGATGAGGATCGGGATTCGGGTATGGATATGGAGAACACGAAATCTGGTATATCCGTACCCATTGTCATCCCTATTTTCACATCGCGGTTCTTTTTATTTTGCATATAACTTATCATTTTGAATTCATGATCCTTGTAATTTTAGAAATTTGTCATTTATAAAATGTCAATTCATCCCCTTAAATATTTATACTTTCAACATTAAATTAATCTTTAATACTTTATTTTCATTATAGCTTTTCTTATAACACATTTAAGCTTTAGTTATTGATTATTAAGTAGTTATAATTATATAATATTTTTTTTATTAAATCAGTTTACACAAGTTTATGAATATGTTTAATTGTATTTTAGTTCTTTTTTTATTACTTTCTTATGCTTTAAAATATTTATAACATTATTTAAATACAATATTATTTATTTTTATCGCTAATCCCTTTCTATTAGTTTTCTTTAATAAAAATAAAGTTATATAAAGTTATCGCCGCGTATCTCTCCGAACGTATCTTTCCCCCTTTTTTTTCCTCTTGGCGGCGGGTACTGTTTAAGAGGAAAAAAAAACATTTTATATCTCTTATCATTCAAACATATATTTTTTAAAATAAAAAACATTTATATTAACTTCAAAGGTTTTTTATAACAGTTTTGTTTAAAAGTTTTACCAATTTTTTTAATATAATATTTTAAGTATTTATTCATCGCTACATTTTATATTTATAAAATTTACACTTACAACCTATTATGTTTTGAAGATATTGCATTTATCCATAAGCTTTATATCTACATTTGTATACATATTTATTTATTATTTTTTATTAATAACTATTTTTACAAGTTACTTCATAAATTTATAATAGTTTTTTTTTTTTATATTACATAACTTTTATAAATTACATATAATTTATTTTTTAAATAAATTACATCAACTTTATTTTTTGTTTTGATTTTTATACATGATGTTTATATATATATATATATATATATATATATATATATATATATATATATATATATATATATATATATATATAGAAAAACTATTTATTATTATTTTATAATTATTAATAATTTTAAGTAAAAAAGTAAAAGAATCTGACTTGATAGGTTAATGATTATAAATAATGATTAGGTTATTAGGTTAATGATTATAAATAATTATTAGGGGTATTGTTAAATATTCTAGTACAAATAAGATTAAACAAAATTACTTCGTCGTGAAACTCTTAATTTTTTTTTTTAATGGAAACGATAAATATATTAAAAACACACCTTACATCAAGACGATGCAAGGAGGAAGTACAAAACAAAAATAAAAAAGAAGAAAAAAACAAGAGAAAAAATTACAAACCCAGAAACGGATCGAGATTCCAAACTCTCCGGTCAAAAACAAAAACCAGTGGAACTCTTAATGATTAGGCTTCTTATTAACTTGACTAGTGTATTGATTTAAATAGTCTTATAAAACACAATGACAACTAACAATAAAATATATAAATAGTATCATCCACGGATCCACATCAAAATAATAAATAAAAAAATGCAAAAATCAACAATTCTTATCATTGAGAGGTAGTACGATAAGAAGAACCTCGAACTCAGAAAACAATACAAAACAATACAAGCTATATATGTTCACACACTTATCAGTTATCGCAACATCCTTTAAACTTTGAACATTATCACAAATAAATGCTATCTATTCACACTTATCAATGTGTACAAAAATGTACACAGTATACTAACAAGCATCCTTTAACTTACAACATTTTTTCAACAAAAGAAATTCAAAAAAATTCTCAAATTGAAGATCAACAAATTCATTTAATATAATTAAGAACATAAAATGACATTTCATATTTAAAACTAACACAAAAATCCTCCAACATATATATGCCAAAAAGCCATCATCAACAAACTTCCAATACAACAACTTGTGAAAGGTCATTATAGCAAATAAATATCAAACTTTCCATCAAGTGTAACAAACTCCCTTTATTTTCTTTTCCTTTTCACACAAAGCAATAATAGATATCAAGAAACTTTTAAGGCCACAAAAATTAGGCATTAGCATACAAAAAACGTCCAAATTTTACTAAACAATGAGTAAATTATGATTAAATGGTTACGTGATCAATAAACAAGAAATTTATTCCTCATTTAATACTTTAATATCCATGGAAATTTTCAGGATATCAAAGCTTAAATTAGGTTTCATAACTCTAACTTCAAAACCTATGGAATTTTCAAGCTTGATCCTCGTAATTGCTTATACCTAATAACTGATAATCGATCAATCATCTAAAAGCTAAAACGAAAATTGTTCAATCGAACAAATGAAGATGATGAAGATAAACCGGTAGCGGTTTGAATTTTCCGGTTCAACGGTGGTGGTGGTGGATATCGCCGGCTCTTGGAGAATCCAAACTTCTGAAAAGAAGCTGTTTCACGGCGGAGATGAGTTCTTCCGTTGGATTTGACGGCGGCGAACTCACCGACGACTGGAAGTTCTTACAGAATCTCATATGTCGATCCAACGCTTCTTCCTCTGACTCCGAACAAGATCTCTCCATCTCCTCCTTCACAGCCTCCGTACAAAGTCCACAAATCCACCGCCCCTGATTGCTCTCTCTCACCGTCGCAATATACGTCGGCGTACATTCCTCCGTCAGCCCGCAACATTCGCATTTCACAAACTCCACATCGCCACCGCCGTCCACCTTCACCGACGTTAATTTCGCTTCGATACCAGACATCAGAATCGTATCCTTCACCATTATCGCCGTCATTCAATATCAAAATCAACCAATCAGAGAAAAAAAAATTAAACTACTCTCAATTCGGAAATCTCAATCAAGAATCTGCACTACGCACACTTTATAACAGTCAAAAAATTCAAAATCGATACGAAATTAATGACAGATTGTTTTGAAAAAAACAAGAAACAAACTTACCGTTGTTCGTAATTGACTAGAAAGACGTTCCAACTTCGAATCTCAAGCTTTTTAACAATGGTGATTACGAGATTACGACCAAAAGGGAAATAAAAAAGAGAAGAAGTTAACGTTCCTTCTCCCACTCGCCTTCTTCTTCAACAACCTCTCCACCGATGAGCAAGAGCTTGAAGGATGAGAATTTCATATACATTTCAGAGCCCTTTTTGGCTCGAAATTTTTGATCGAATTGAAAGTAACAAGAGAAAGAGAAGAGAAGCAAAGCTTCAGGGTTTCTCTGTGTGTAAGAGAGATAGATGCGTCTACATATAGGAGTGAGGTGGGGAAGACGACAGGGGATTGCCAGCGCTGATTATTTGGCTGTTTTGAGGACCTGTAAGTTTCAGTACCCGTCAGCATAAAGGAAGAATCACATGGGTTACGTCTCACTGGTGCATGGCTGCTCTCATGTCTTATCGTTAAATCCAGCCGTTGATTTGGGGCTTCTGAAATAGATAAAGATAACTTCTTTTGTGTTTATCACTTTATCTTGTTTTAGTCACTTTTAAGTAGATTAAATTTCTATATTTAAAACAACCTTTTCTGCTTTATTAACGGATGTTGCTTTTGTTTGTTTCCGTGCATAAGATAAAATATATATATATATATATATATATATATATATATATATATATATATATATATATATATATATATATATATATATAGGATGGATCATTTGAGAACTCAAAGTTTTCCGAGAACCCGAAAACTAAAAGTGGAACGTTGAATCAAAAAAATGAAGGATCAACATGTAAGGTGACGTTTTTATAAATAAATAGACAAAAAAGGAAGAAATGATATCTTAATTAATTCAGTCAAGGGTATTATTATAATATCGAATAACATTATTATAGGAATAAAAGTATAATTAAATTATTTCTTAAATCTAATATCTGATAGAATAAATTTTCATCTCTCTCTCCTCCCCGTTTTCCTCTCTCGCTCAAACCTACAATTCATCCTCCGACGACTCACCTCTATTGAATTGCCTCTAATCCTTCATTAAATTCCATGCTTTTGATTCTGAAATTGCTTCTACTCACATGAATACGGTGAAGATAAATGACGAACATGATTTATCGTCGATTTCCAGATCCCAATCGATCAAACTATCATCATTGATCATCAATCTATATGAAATCTGAAATCCCCCAACGATCGAAGTTTCATTGTTGCTGAACTCCTTGATCTCACATTCTTCATATAAAAACTCCAGTGAAGATGCTTTGATTTTGAATCGTTTTATCCTCCATCAATTCGTTCCCCAGAGTATACTATAATCTCCGACTTCATCTCAGCCTCCACCGTAGATTGAAGACCTGAACGAAGAAGATGATCCATTGTCGATCAAAATTTAGGTATCATCTGTTTCTATTGTTGACTCCTGACATTTGTTTGACCTTTACAAAATTTTTTTTGCCTAATCGTTTAGTGGAACCTGTTTAGTCAATATGTTTTTTTATAAAGAGTTAAATCCTTGTGTTGATTATAGGTATAAAAATAGACACATGTGTTACTGAAAAATATAAATATGTGTTTGCACTCAACATGTTCGATGAAATGACTCAATGAGAAATATCACATGTTAACTTCACTTTGACTTTATGAATGATAAACCAATTCCAATTTAGGTTTCTGTCCAAGCCAACATCGGAAATGTCAATGAACTCGTTGCCAATAAAGTCATCACACAGGTACTAACTACATCATTCTACCTAAAGTGGCTGAAATTTGAGTTATTGTTTTTTTTTATAGTGTTGTATCACTGGATAAATCTTCATGATATTCATCAAATATGTTAAATGTTAGTGTCTTGATACATTAATCCTGGTTCTTTTACTTAACTTATTAATACATTGTGTCCAGATTAAGATTAAGTAAAAAAGAAAGTCATAATAGCTATCTCGATTGATTGAGTTAAAAGAAAAGGATCCTAAATCATTGAAACTTAGTAAAAAAGAGATATCATGTAAATGCTTGAAATGGTTATGGTTGCAGCATATTAAGGTATTGACACCAATTGAGAAACTCAATTACTATGTTGTCCTAAACCATTTGAGGTAATATGTGATTCCATGAATCCATCGATTTCTTTGAAAGGGGATTCATGTTATTCATTGATTACTAATTTGAATTAAATCTATATCTTAAATTCATGTTCTCATTGTTACACAAATTAATAATTTCATTTCCAGGAACACCTTGTAAAAACTTCCAGTGGATTTGTTTATGTTGTCATATATGGAGATCAAGAGAAGCCAGTTCTTATTACATATCCTGATTTAGCTTTAAATCGTAAGTGATTCTGTTTTTCATTCGTTAATCAACAAAATTTGTTGAAAATAAATGAAATCTTGCTTATTTGTTTGCATGTTTGAACAAATATGTCATGTTTCCAAGGTCTTTTCTTATGCCCTTAAGCATTTTATTTACTGATTCATAATTTCTACATTTACCATATTAGCCCTCCCGGCCATGAGGTCAGCAATCAAAACTTCATTTTTATTTATTATTATTCTTTTTTAAATATATAAACAATTCAATAGTAAAACAATTTGTATTCTTAGCTTATTTTATACATCTTTAAGAGCTATTGTAGTTGGGAGCTGCAACAATGTTTATATTATAGGTACTTAGCTGATCAGGTTGCTGAGGTTCTTGATTTTTTTTTTTTTTTAGTTTTCAACTAATAATTTGGATATAAATAATCTTTACAAACATTCTAATATTTATATTATTTTTTGGATATAAACTAATTATATAGTGCACTAATAATCACCATCTGCTTCTTTAGTATTCTAATTTTGAATTTGTGTTTTGGAATTCAGCAAATCTCATATAGTTATAGAAAAAAAAAATCACATGTAGTTCACATATAGATCACACGTGATTCACATATAAATCATAAGAGAATCACATATGAATTACATGTGATTCACATGTAAGTAACATGTATTTCACATGTAAATCACAAGTGATTCACATGTGAATCACAAGTGATTCACATGTGAATCACAAGTGATTCACATTTGAATCACAAGTGATTCACATATAAATCACATGTGAATCATATATAAATCACAAGTGATTCACATGTAAATCACAAGTGATTCACATTAATCACAAGTGATTCACATATGAATCACATGTAATTCACATATAAAATCACATGTAAATCACAAGTGAATCCTATATGAGTTACATATGAATCATAAGTGATTCACATATAAATTACATGTGATTCACATGGAGATAACAAGTGAATCACATAAGAATTACATGTGATTCATATGTAAATAACATGTAACTCACATATGAATTACATGTGATTCACATGTAAATCACATGTAATTCACATATGAATCACATGTAAATCTTATATGATATATGCATGTGCATTTTTGTGAGTGTTCTTGCATTAATCAATTGTTTTTAACTTTCTTGTAGATTTTGAAGAATTTGTAGAAAATATTGAAAAGATGAAAAGTGATAAATTGAAGAAAATATGAAAATCTTGATATGACGAAATGATAACATTGTGAATCTTTGTAGCATTTTTTATTTTTATATTTTATTTTGTATCGAATAAAATACTTGTCCTATTATGTTTATAGATTTATTAATAAAAATGAGATTTTTTATGATTTAATTATGAATATTATAGTATACCGATTTCTCTCATACAAAACTCTTATGAACTCACCAACTTAATTGTTGACACTTTTTCAAAACCACTTGTATTCTCAGGAAATCAGTAGATAGGTAACCAAAAAGGTTTTGAGGATGGGGCGTTGCAGCGTCACGTCATTTACTTTTGTCATATGTATTTGGTATCAAGTAAACAATGTTTTGGATAAAATGTAAACATCTTAATTATCAATATGATGGTTGTATGGCTTTGATCACTATTATTCATTATGTTATGATACTGTACATGAAGTCATCCACCATTAGACGTTTTCGCCGTTCTGATTTTGGAGGTGTGATATATTAGACTAGGTTTCTTTTTATAGTTAATATAAATAGGTTCCCTTAGATTGATGTTAATTTAAGTTAAGTTCTAAAAGTTTAGTCGGGTTTTTATCTCTTGTCTTTTTTTTCCATCCCTTGTTCTCGATTCTCCTTGAAGAACAAGGACTTGCACCTATTCTATTGGTTACACTTGACAAACTTGGTGAACGAGTCAATTTTCTAGAAGTTCTTATGTTATATGGTCTTCCTTTCCTCTCCTTTGTTTTCTGTCATGTTGCTTTGTTGCAGTCAAAAGTCTAAACCTTGTTGATCAAGGTTAATCTCCAGGTTTAGAACTTACAGGCCGACGATAGCAAGAAAGTGTCGAGAATGCGATGAGCGTTGTTTCAAGAATAAATTGGGATTCCATTGCAAAGCAAACCACCTGATCTTCCTATAAGATTCAAAAAAATCAACTTCAAAATATGTTGATCCCTACCATCCAACAAGATTAATCAAAAGTGAATCTGCAACACGAGTCTCTTATAGCCTTATAAAATCTATATGTTGAGCGAATCTTAACCTTCTAACCGAATCTACCTTGTGATATTCGCAAAATCCTATAAATGATAGAATATTCATTGGGAAGTTTTTGGAACTCCAACACCCAACAAATCTTCTTCCAGAATGCTAATACTTTCATCCACCTAGAAACCCACATCATTATTAGGGATGAACATCGGAATTGGGTATCCTCTTTTGGAACCGGAACCGCCTCGGAACTGCCAGTTTTGGAATCGGAACCGCCTTACGCGGTTCCGGTTCCAGTTCCTAAAGTTATGGATCTGCCTTAAGCGGTTCCGGTTCCGTTTCCGGTTCTCGTTTTTTCGGAACCGCTACCCACTGGGTACCCGCCGAAACTGGTTTATATATATATATATATATATATATATATATATATATATATATATATATATATATATATATATATATATAATTTCATATAAATATGTGTGTTACTTAGACCGGTTTAGAATATATATTGGTCTGATTTCGTCCGTCTTTGGTACGGATTGACTTGATTTGGATCGAACTAAATTACGGTTTTATCGACAAAAGTTAAAAAAAATTAATGTAATCAGGTTATCCGTGCCCGAAACCTGAACTGCCAGTTCTGGGACTGGTTCCAACATTTAACAA